AGAAATCAAGAAAACGGAAATTTTCATGCTTTTGCCAAAGTGATGCGTGCCGTCCCCACATAAGTAGATGTATGCTACAAATCTGTAGAAGTACCGTGAACTTTCAGCTCTCTACAAGCTTTAGTTCCCGAGAAATATAGATTACTAGCTGGCTTACCCGGCTCCGCCGTATCCGGACCAAACTTGGCACACATACACTTCGGGCCCCGGCGGGTGTCACAGTCCACTTTTCGTTATCGATCGATGTCGATTTTACCGATTTTTATCGATTTTTTTGCAGAGTTCACCTACAGGGCTAGGAGTTGGCACAGGGGGGAAGTGAGCATGGGGATTCCGAATACAATATTAGTTTTCAAAATTACCGATTACTTTTATTGATTTTATCGATTTTTTGTAAACTTTGAGCTGCGGGGCTGGGAGTTGGCACAGGGGGGTAATCGAGCATGGGGATTCCGAATACAATATTAGTTTTCAAGATCGTCCATTACTTTTATCGATTTTATCGATTTTTTGAAAATTTGAGATAGGGGGCTGGGAGTTGGCACAGGGGTGCAATCGAGCATGCTGATCACCCCCCTTGGGGATGATCAGCATGCTCGATTACCCCCCTGTGCGAACTCCCAGCCCCGTAGCTCAAACTTTGCAAAAAAATCGATAAAATCGATAAAAGTAATCGATAATCCTGAAAACCAATATTGTATTCGGAATCCCCATGCTCGATTACCCCCCTTTGCCAACTCCCAGCCCCGTAGATGAACTCAGCAAAAAAATCGATAAAAATCGATAAAATCGATATCGATCGATGACGAAAAGTAGCCTATGACACCCGCCGGGGCCCGAAATGTATGTGTGCCAAGTTTGGTCCGGATCGGTTCAGAAATAAAAATTTCTATTCGGAACATACGTACATACATACATACAGACAGACATACATACATACAAACAGACATTCAGCTTTATATATAAGATAGCTTTGATTAGTTAGGTGGTCCAAGCTAAAATTCAAATTTCTCGAAAACTAAAGCTTGTAAAGAGCTGAAAGTTCACGTTTGTACTTCTACAAATTTGTAGTATGCATCTACTTATGTGGGGACGGCACAGCATCACTTTGGCAAAAGCATGAAAATTTCCGTTTTCTTGATTTCTAGGAAAAAATACGGCAACGGCGTACATAGATGTCTTTGTGGATAGTGTTTACTGAGCAAGTTAGAATTTTTCTAGGTCTCTTATGAACTGAGATGATTTTTCCCGATTTTTTGGGCAGTTGAATCTTACAAGTTTTTGGTTCGAAACTCGAGGTGGATGAAAGCTGTTGCAAAAGCAAGATAGTCATCTTGTAGAGATTGCTTTGCTCTATCAAAAGGTACTTTGAAGCCTATTTAGGAATGAAAAGTGTATGACTTATTGCGGTTGGAATTCAGAACGGACATTAATTTCCGGACAGCCTAATAAATATTTCGGGATTACTTGCTACTTAAAAACAGGAAGCAGCAGGTTACTGGTTTAGAAGATGTGTGCAAGGCGGTGTCGAGCCTCCTAGTCACATAATGATGATATATTGAGTTGTCCCGGAAGTTTGTCCGTTTTTTTCATTGCTCATTAAAACTCACAGAACACCGATTCATGAAAGGCTTTGGTATCATTTGATTCAGATTTTTATCTTCTTTCTTACAGCTATATTTCTCTGATCTTCCCTGTCTTTGCAATGCTACCGCCATGGCTTTTTGAGCAGCTTAGCAGTAACGCCAAATCTTCCGTGAATTTCAAAATTTTTTATCCTAATGTTTTCGAAGAGCTGGTAATTGTTATGTAGAGCAACCTTTGGCTATATTGTATCCATTTTAAGTTACGATCAACGCTGATCATTTAAATCAACGCTTACCAAGATCGTTATAATTATTTATTTGACAAAAACCGCGGCTTTTTGATTACATTTATCACGTAAAAGTACCGAAAATTCTAAAAAACTGCTTTTCCGAGCAAATCAAACTTGGTTTTGCTGCATAAATAATGTTTAATAAGAATCGTGTCTCAACTTGCAGAAAATTCGAAAGCTTTCGTGTATTTGCTGCAGTTGCTTGTTCCATGACTTTGCCAAAAATCGAGACCTCTGAAGAAATGATTTTTGAAGCTAAAAACGGCAGATTAGGAGAACCTAAAAACCTTGTAGTCCGAGTTGCTCTATTTGAACCTTACTTAACCTTTCCGAAACTTTGAAAGGAACTTTCAAAATTAGCCTGACTTTGAGCAGATGAAATTGACGGTGGAGAATTTTGGCAATTATCAAAAGAAGCATACAAGATTGTGGTTCGACAATGTATCCATAAGAAAAAGAAGGAAAAGCTGCATCGAATGCATGTTGAAGCTCATTCAAATCTATATTGTGCGTGGTTTTATAGTTTGAAAAAACGGGCAAAACTTCCGAGACAACCTATAACCTAAAGAATGCTCTTGTTACTTGTTATCTGCATTCTAGAAAACTTGCGTTTATTTCACGGCAATTCTTGCATGCTGAGTTTCATTTGCAATCTGTATTTCTGTTTTCATTTTTGGAATGTAACTAATGTCTTTTGTGCATGTCAGACTTGAGAAAAAACGTCTAACAACTACTTTTTTTCTTCGGTATTCCTCAGCCTATGAATTAGCTTTACATTTCGCAATCTTGCTGATGTTTTAGAAATCTATCGCCACGCTGTCACTCATCTATATGCTCACATGATCTGAACTTAACTGATTTGAGAATTGAAAGTAGTGCACTAATACAACCTATAAACGTCTCAAGCTATTGTTGCTCGTCACTCTCGACCTGTCCAAAACATCTGACAATGAGTCCCGGACATCAGTGCAAGAGAACACCAGCTTCATTGAATCACCACAAAACAAGACAATGTTGGCGATTTATGCCAGTTTGTTTCCTCTAAAACTCTGCATTTTGCATCTCGTTTCTCTTACAAAATCCTGAGTGGTAGAAAAATCTTCAGAAACCACTACCTCCTTTCCCGCTGTCTGCTCACAATAATTTCATTAATCTCCAGTTGTCCATCCATTACACGTCATCAACAAAACATCATCTTAGGAACTAATCAGAAGTTTTTTATATTAGGCTATTTATATTTGGCTGTTTTATAAGTAACAGCTGGCAAACCCGGCTCCGCCCGGCCCTGTCAATAGCATAATCGTAATAAGCATGCTCACTTACCCCCCTGTGCCAACATCCAGCCCCGTAGCTCGAACTTTTTGAAAAATCAAAAAAATCTATATCGATCGATGACGAAAAGTAGCTTATGACACCCGCCCGGCCCCGAAGAGTATGTGTGCAAAGTTTGGTTCGGATCGGTTCAGAAATGGAATTTTCTATTCAAAACATACGTACATACACACAGACATTTAGTTTTATACATTAGGTTAATGCAAAAATAATGAGCGTTTTCCAAGGACTTTCTTCAGGGCAATTTTTTCCCACTAAATTTCTTTGTTTGAAATAATTTTAGCAAAATATTAGAAAGCTTTTCTCATGCACTATCTAATGCTTTTCAAAAGGGACTTCTAGCCCACTCTATTGAGAACTTATAGAGCTTCAGAAAGTCGCACTCAACACCAGATTTTCGTTGCATTCATTTTTCTGGCCAGAATTTAAGCGCAAATTCAGGTGCTTTTTTGAAAATTTAGCCGCTATGTGTAATGGAATTTGTCTACATTGTGCATACTTAACCATATTTTTTGAAGTTATCTAAAGTGAGATATCGGTGGCTTAACATGGGTGATGGTTGTGGTCATTTTAGAGCCTATAACTTTTTTAGTTGAATGCGTGGCTCAAACTTTGCTCATCTCCGTAAGCGCGAGGATAGGGCATCCTCTTGACAATTTTAGCAAAGACATTTAGCTGTTCGGTACGCAGTAAATTAGAAAATTCTATACTCCGGGATTTTGAGGTCTACTGAAAAATGCTGAAAAGTTGATATTTTAAAATTTCGATTTTTCCATTCGCTAATCCTTTTCTCCAAACCCTTTCCATGTATATCTGTACTACTGTTTTGCGGCTACAAGATAGGCTGCTTATGAATTATGACAACCAAGTGTGAAAGAAGTTATGTTCCGTCAAAAACAAGACTTTAAAAAAACTTTCTTTGTTCATTAATCCATATTTCTCTGCCCATATGAGATATTAGTGTAGACTAAGGTGCGCTGTATTGCGAAAGGTTCGCTGCATCTGGTGGTTTTTATCGCATTTCAATATGTATGTTTTATAGAAAGTTATAGCAAGTTAAAGTGAAAAATGGAAAAACGCTCATTATTTCTGCATCAACCTAATATAAGATGCAAGTTTTAAACTTTAATTTCAAATCAAGATAATTTTTCTTCTAAATCATTTTTCTGAGTGCGATAAAAACTATTGCAAACCGTAGACCTTAACTATATAACGCTTACTTCCTTTGGATCGTATCCACTCCGACGAAGATTTTCTACCGCGACATTTTCCACAACATTTTTTCTAGAAGCTTACAATTTGAGAGAGCTTAATTTGCTCTCAAGTGTATAATGATGCCGCGAACTACGCCCTTTATATAGCCTATACTGTTTGAGTCTAAAGAATAAATCTGGTCGTATGGTCTTAGGGCAAGGAAGGTAAAAGGAAAAATTTCAATTGATCACTTATCTTTCAAGGCTCCGGTTTAAAGTCTGCGAAAACAAAAGCACCAGAATAATCGCATTTTAGGTGCCATAAAAAGTTTTTAGGAAAAATGATTTAATTGAAAATTAGCTTTTTTGAAAAGCCACAAAAACGTGCTATGAAACAACCTAATAAACTGCGCGCCAACGTTGAGCTACAGGCTCCGAAAAAGGTGAAAAGCTTTATAAATCTTTTTTTTGCCAAAGTCGTCTGATGTGGCAAACCTATGGCTTAAACAATTTATGAATAACAAAACAAATCTGATTTCATAATTCACATTAATGCGATTGTTTTTATATGAAAACAGGGCACCTCCATAATTTCAATGCTTAGGCCTTAATACCACCTCCCGCCTCCTGGACCCGTCAAGCTATATGTCATTCCCGATAACCAAGCATGCATTACGGATTAAATGCAAAAACAAGCTCAGCGCCATACTAGGACGACTTCCTCGCATCAGACGGCAGCAGCTCGTAGCGGCAATAATTTTCTCATTTATACTCATCTACTTGCACAAAGAATTCCCAGCTGCGAAGGTGAGCACATGAGATTCCGAAAAATTTTGTACAGTCGCAGTGTGCTTATTTCTTGCAGTTGCCTTTGAAAGTGATCGTAACTGGGGAAGATACAGATAGAAATTTGCGGACAAAACCAAGAAATTCGACTGGCGCAGGTACAATCCAGCTGCGAGGACAAGTAAGTCTTCCATGCAATCACGCAATCATTGTATTCAAATGCCTCTAGTTTAGAAACGCTAGAGACCTAAGTTTGGGTTGAAACTCAAGCTCAACCTGAAAGTTAAATCTTTCAGGTTGAATTTGAGTTTTGCACTAAAACTTTTGGAAATTCTCATGTTCTTCCACTCAATAGCATTATAGTCGAGTCATAGGAAAAGTTGTGCGCTTTCTGATAGTGTTTACACAAAAAATCGATGTTGTCCTATCGCGGCAATTAGAGCTGAGAAAGATGGACACTGATTTATTTTTTGAGATTTCGGTCACTAAAAATGCTCAAAGGCCGATATCCTACTTCTTTTGAAGCTTAACTTCTACCTTCTACTCTATTTTTATAAGTTAGATAATTCTGATCAAATGTTCTATTTTCGAATTTTGATTTTTTTAAAGCAAATCCTTTCGAAACATTACTAAATATCTCATAAACATCAAAATCATATAAATTTGAAAAGCTGCCTAAACATTTTTAAATGATTTTTTGCTGGATTTTAGTGCAAGGTATGTCCCAGCCCAGTAGTCTTGCAAAGCCAAGCGATAAAGAATGAGAGAAAATTATGCTGTAGGTCCTCTTATCTCTGAAGATGGGCATTTTCTTGATTATGTCTTATTTCAATTTTTATTGTGCCGTACAGGTTGCTATAGATAATACACTTTCATTGCCCGAAATTTCGGCTTGAGCCGTTTTCAGAAGCTAAGGCGTCAGTTACCTTGTATACGTGAGAGAAATTTCTTTTGCAGACTTGTCTCATACCTAAGCTGGACATAAATGGCACAGAAGTGAGAGGCTTCTTCTTCAAAACCGAACCTCTCACATGCTTCAAAAACCCTAGAAATTGGGTCTTTATTGATGATAATGGAAATGTGCAGTACATCAAAGAGAGGTACATTTTGATTTTTGAATCTTACTCCCTTTCAACGGTTGATTAGCCGTATGTGAGTGCGTAATCAGCGTCGAAAACGCCAACACAAAAATTTGTAATTCTTTGCAGAAAAAATGCGCAATGTCATGGATACTATGTTACATGGAAAAGTACCTCGGACAATACTTATACCGCTTTCGATACACTACCAAATGGCCAACCCATGAAGTCAGACTTTGCTCTTGTAAGCTGTACTGATGGATGGCAGAAATGGTAAGGCTTAGCAGCATAGAGTTAACTTTCTTAGACTCGAATTAAGGGCACGGCCCATCTGGATGGTGAGATTTTAGTACTGTACAATAGGGAAGTCCTAACAAAGTGAATATCAATCCCCCCGCAGAAGATGAATTCCAAAACGAGAAAATCGCTCCAGAAGCCAAGGTGGCTCCATCCATCAACGTGTTTAGTCTGACTTCAACAAATCCATAATTGTCACAAATTTGCCTTTCACCAGGGCACGAGCTGGCACCAGGGAAATTTCAAAACGAAGTACCATTTGATGCAGAAAATTTAGTACGAAGTCCCCTTTGACCTGTTCTGAAGACCCACAAACCGAGTAATTTTCAGATTGCTATAAAACGCTGAAAAGGAAACTATGAAATTAATATAAATATCTTGGTTCTTGAACAAGATTGTTTGTCAGCTACTGACCAAGGTACCGTCCCATTTATCAAACACCAACCATTTCCTTGAGCGCTTACACAACGCTAAGTTTAACGACGAGTGTGTGGCTGAGTCATTTGATGTGGTATCTCTGTATACCAATGTTCAAAATGACGACGCCTTACAAGCGTTATCCGAAATGTTGGATAAGTTTGGTAAAGACATTCAAACCTTCAGCTCGAGTAAAAGTAACAATGATTCTGATCAAGGAGTGCTTGAACTGTAACATTTTCAAATGGTCAGGATCTTACTATACTCAGCTAAGAGGTCTCGCAATGGGGCAAAGACTTGCGCCAGTGCTAGCGGTCTGCTTTATGAGTAGAATCGAGAACCCGGTGCTGTTAAGACTACCTCTTATGTACTGTCGCTATATCGACGACTGTTGTATCATAACATCCACACAGTCCGAAATGGACGAGTATTTCCGTTTACTGAATCAACAGTCAGAGTACATAAGATTTACACGAGAACAGCCGACTGACGGGTGGCTCCCATTTTTGAACGTGCAATTTAAACTGTCCGGATCTCACGCGATTGTAAAATGGTATCGTAAATCAAGCTCGAAAAACATCTTGTTGCACGCCCGCTCTGCTCATCCTTCAGCCATCAAACGTGGTGTTATCCACAATATGTTCAAGACTGCATCACAGGTTTGCACGGGAGAAAAGGAACGGAAGGAATTACGAGATTTGGCGCTGGACATCGCTAGAGGGAATGGCTACTCGATGCACAACGTACGTAGGCCAGGTACCTCGCATAAGATGCTTCAACGCAACAACGAAATTCCTCTCTGTTTACCTTTCATCTCTGATCGAGTAAGTGTTGCTATACGGCGAAGCATTGCGCGATCACATTTGAGCAACGATATCATTTTAGTAGACATACCAAGCGCGAACATC